TCATGGAGGAAAGAGAGCTTTGCGGGATAGAGTATTCTTGGTTGGCATCTGTTTTCTTGGAGTCTGTTGACTATGTCCCTCCACTCTCTCCTTGCCCGTAATGTTTCTTCAGAGAAGTCTGATGTCAGCCTGATTGGTTTTCCTTTGAATGTTATCTGTTTCTTCCCTCTTGTCAGCTTCATTATTTTTTCCTTGTCCTGGATTCTTGGGAGCTTTACTATTATGTGTCTTGCTGTGTTTTTCCTTTCGTCGTGGAAGTTTGGTGTTCTTCTTGCTTCTTGTATATCAATTTTCAGCTCCTTCTTCTCATTTGGGAAGTTCTCTTCAATTATATCCATGAATATTTTCTCTGTTCCTACATCTCTCTCCTCTCCTTCTGGAATTCCTATAACTCTTATATTTCCTTTCCTCATGGAGTCAGATAGTTCCCGAAGTCTTTCTTCATTCTTTTTCCTTCGTACTTCTCTTTCCTTTTCTGTTTTGGTTCTTTTTATTTCTGTGTCTTCAAGATTACTTATTCGTTCTTCCATTTCATCTATTCTGCTTTCATTGCTTTTCCCAGAGTTCTTTAGTTCCTCCATTAATTCTTTGATCTCCTGCATTTCTCTTACTTCCCTCTTTAGGGACTCAATTTCCTTCTTCTGATCTATCACTTTTTTAATCATGGCAATTTTAAATTCTCTTTCTGGAAGGCTCAGAAGTTCTTCCAAGTTGCTGTCGTTGCAATCTGGGGAGTGGTTTTCTTTTTGTGGTGTGCTTCTTTCCTGAGGAGTTTTTAGGTTGCGTGTGGTTCTTCTACTCCCTACTGTCTGTTTTCTAATTTGTCGTATGCGTTGGGACACTGTGTTGCTCGGACTGACTGACATCTTGGGTGAACTTCTCCGCTCCCCTCTGGCTCTTCCAGGAGCCATCTCTGTCTTCTGGGGGAGCTTTCTGCTGGTTTTAGGCAGTTTTTACTGAAGAAATGTCCCTGTTCTCAAATGGCGAAGCGGGATGCAGTCCCTGCGCCTCCGGTTTCAGGCACACTCTTCTGCGCACCCAGTCTGCCCCAGACGTGGGTGCCTGCTCCCTCTGTGGGCTCAGACTGCTGGTCGGAAGGGGCCTGGGGTGGAATAACTTCCCGGCTGGCCACTGGGTCCTCCAGAAACCTTCTGCCCTTTTCAAGCAGTCTTAAGAAATGTCCTGTTTTATAGGGTGTTAGTGACTTTTTTTTTTCCTGGTCGCTAGGTGGCGCCAGAGATCTCTCCTATTGTCCTTGGGGGGCTGTTTTTTGCCTCCCCCACCCCGTGGGACAGAGAACAGAGCGGGAATGGTAGGGTACACCTCAACAGCTTTGGGGTGCTGTGTCTGCCTTGTGCCCCACCGTCGTGGAGAAACCACGCCCCGAATTTTCGTGCCCTGGGTCTCAGTTCAAAGCCCTCAGTTCCAGGATGCGGGCTGTAGCCCAGTTCAGTGGCGCGGGAATGGCGCCTTTTGCACAACTCCCGTGCCTGGGCGCCTGGTTCCTGCTCACTCAGGGAGGGACCTTCACCTCAGTGAGGACCTCCGCGCGTCTCCCTGCAAGCCTAGGTCGTCTCCCCGCAAGCCTAGGTCGCAGGCGCGGGGACCTGGGCAGCCGTGATCCAGGTCTGCACTTGCTTTTCAAGCTCCCCGAGCGCGCCGCTTTCCCGCGCAGGCTTACCGGCAGCCTGGGCTGTGTGCGCGTCTCCCGGGGTCTTTGTTCTTCTCTAATGGCGCCCGGAGCCGTTCCCTCACCTCCGCGGCGGATCCTGCAGGGTTCGCCTCAGCTCCCGTTCACGGGGTGTGGTGGCTGCAATAGTTCCTTTCCACTCACAGTCCCGCTTGCTGCGTCGTTTGTTCTTGTGGGCCGTTTTGGTTTGTTGTTTCCTCCTCTCTGCCGGTCGGAGAGTGCCGGCTCTGTGGGCGGGGGAGGGGAGCAGGGTTCTGCGCTTCCCTCCCTTCTAGTCCTCTTTTATGGCCAGTTTCTTCTTCGGGCAGTTCGCTGGAGTCACCCGTTTATCTTCCGTGTCCCAGTTCTCACTGGGACCTGCCGCTTTTCCTCCCTATTCACTTTTTTTAATGGGAGATCTTACTCGCAGCGTCTCCTCGCCGCCATGTTGCTCCGCCCCCTGCTTTCTGACTTATTTCACGGGGCATGATCCCTTCTAGCTCCATCCATGTTGCTGCAAACTGCATGTATTTATCTTTTTTGATTGCTGAGTAATATTCCATTGTGTATATGTACCACATCTTCTTGATCCAGTCATCTATTTTTGGTACAAGAGCTGAGGTACAGGCCAGAGGTGTGGGAGGGTTAGAGGATTCACCAGAGACAGAGCCAGGAGCAGAACAGGCAGATGGACCAAAAGCACTGCTGAGGAGAGGAGTGGATGAGACAGGAGAGGTCTGCCATGCCATGTGGGAATCTCCCTGGCCAGCAGGGAATCAAACACATGCTGCAGAGGCTGCAGACAGCTTCACAGCGCTGCACTCAACACGTTGCACCACTAAGGAGGCCCCAAAAAGTGTTTTTTAAGTTAAAATTTAACTCTAAAATGTGCTTTTTAAAAATGATAATTATGAAGATGATCAAGCTAGATAAAAATATGATAATATGATAATTATGAAGATGATCAAGCTAGATAAAAATATTTATATTTATCTAGACAAAAATATTTTTGTCTGATTAAATAATTATGTACTGACAAAGAATTCCAAATCTTGATCATTTAATACAAGTTAATTCTTCTCATGCCCCACTCTTGGCATGGTAGGGGCTTTGCTGAACTTAAACATTCAGGATTCCCACTGGCCTAGGTTCATCTCAACTCATGCTTCTAGTCACTAGAGCTGTGAAAAGATGTGGCCAGTCATGTGCTATATCTTACACCTTTCAAAAAAAGGGACATGTCATTTATTTTACATTTCATTCACCAAGTGTCATATGGCTACTTGTAACTCCAAGTACAAGTAGTACTTGAAGTACCTCCAGAGAGGGACAATCCTAACATATCCCTGGAGAAGAGAAACACTGGAAGTAATTGATGAAGAGACCTGATTATTATAGAGCGTAAAATTATAACCAACAAATAAACTATAACATAATACATGTTTGGTCTAATAACCTTATAATAATATACTTTCACTTCTCTCTTCCTGACCTTTATGCTTTATTAAATTAGCTCTATTGAGATATAATTTATATAGCATAAGATTCACCATGTTAGAGTATATAATTCAGTGTTTTCTTAGTATATTCACAAAGTTGTTTAATCCTCACCACTGTCTACCTCTGTAACATTTTCAACATCCTGAAAAGAACCCCTGTAACTATTAGCAGCACTCCGCATTGCCCCTTCCTCCCAGCCCATAGCAATTTCTTATGTACTTTCTACCTCTGTGGACATCTTATATAAATGAAATCTTGCATGTTGTCTGGCTCCTTTCATGTGTCACGCTGTTTCTGAGATTCATCTATATTGTACCATGTATTAATACTTCATTCATTTTTGGCCAAATCCCATTTCACAGACATAGGGCAATTGTTATCTACGTAACAGTTGATAAACATTTGAGATTTTTCCAGTTTTGGCTATTATGAATAATGTTGCTGTGAAAATTAGTGTGCAAGTTTTTGTGTGGATACAGGTTTCCAGTTCTCCTGTGTGTATAACTTAGTTTTATTGTCTTTGTTTTCTTCCATGTCTTTGAATTCTTTTGTCATGGCTATTTTGAATTCTATATCTGATAGGGTGTAACGATCTGCTATATCTTTGTGTGTGTGTTCTGGAGATTTGTTCTCTCTCTGGTGTAGTGTTCCTCTGGGTGCTTAGGCTACCATTTGTTGTGTCTTTTCGTCTACCCATTATTTTTTGGTAAATATTTATTTCTACTTTTCCGGTAAATTATGCTGTATGTCAGGGAGAACTAATTTGTAACTAGTTCTTATTAAGTATTATGTAGGTGAGACAGAGGTCCTGTCTGCAGTGGGGTCAGCCATGTCAGATCTTCCTCAGCTCCTTCCCAGAGCTCACTATGGCAAAATCGACATCTGCATGGGACTCTATGGCTGTTCTGCCCTCATGTCCCTTTCCGGAGCTCACTGAGGCTGCACGGGTGTCTGTGGGTGGTCTGCTATGTTTGGTCCACCTTTATGGAGCTTATGGAGGCTGCACTGATATCTGTAGAAAGTCTTTTATGGGGAGTCCATCATCAGGCCCCTTTATGGATCTTACCAGGGCCATTGATGTCTGTGGGAGAGTGTGCTATGGTGGGTCCACCTTCAAAGAGCTTGTGGAGGCTGCACTGATGCCTGTAGATGTTCTGCTTCTTGATACTGGGTTGGAGTTCACCTGGTCTGCAAAATGTTACCATCTCTAGAAAATAGTTTCTATGTGGAATTTTTCTGAAACTCTCTATACTGACCTTTAATTATTCCTTCTTTGTGTCATTATTGCATTTTATTTTATATTTTAGTTATTGCCAATATTACAATTATTTGAAAACTTTTTTTTTTTTTTTTTTTTTTTTTGGTGGGACCCTGGCCGGCGGTCAGGGAACAAACTGGCTCAGCAGAGGCTGCGGGCAGCCTCGCAGCCCAGTGCTCAACCGCTGCGCACCAGGGGAGGCCCTTGAAAACTATTTGATTAGAAGTTTTGTGAGGTTGAAAGGACATGTTTGTTTTGGGTATACAGTGGTTTCTTTAATTTTTATCTTTGTGTAGATGAACTGGGGTGTAGGCCAGAAGTTGTGGGACTTGAGAGTATTCACCAGAGACAGAGTGGGGAGAAGAGCAGGCAGATTTTACTGAAATACACTGCTGAGGGGAGCAGTGGATGAGACAGGAAAGGTGTGCTGCGTCATATGTGGGTTAGCTCCCTGGCCAGGGATCAAACTCAGGTATGTGCTGAGACTTAAACCCTGGGCCACCAAAGGAGTACCTGTTTTTGGTATACAGTCTTATCTTGGCCGACTCAAGTAAGTGTTCTTTAAATATTTATTGCACTAAATGGATCATATATATCTTTATTTTACCAGTCAAGTCCATTGTGTAAGTTAGCTGGCTTTTTCTTGCTTTTCATAGGGAAAGGGTAAAATCATAAAGAGTTCAGATGCCAAAGGTCAGGAAATTGGAGAATCAGAAATAGAAGCTTGTCGTGATTCAGGTGTCAGGTTTTTGTATGTCGTGTCTTGAGCTTCTCTTGAGCACTGTTGTATAACAAACCTTTCTGAAATGATGAAAATGTTCTGTAACTTTGCTTTCCAATAAGTTAGCCACTATCCAATTACTACATTTGACCAGTGTGACTGAGAGATTTAATACTTACTATTTTAAAATTAATTTATTTTCTGACATTGTAGATCATTTTCATACAATATTTGATTTCTCCCCTCAGGTGTAGTCTCCATAGCTCTCCTGCCACCATAGCAACTGTGACCAATTACCATAGTTCCCTGTGCTCTTCCCTCCAATTTTGACTGTCTCCCCTAAAAGATATGGAAACATATGTACACATTTGTTACTTATTTTTAAGTAACTGAAAGTTACATAACCACATGTGACCACTGATTATGGTTTTACGTAACATAACCTCTGGTGATTGGGGACAGACCATTTTCTCTTTTAACCCAAAATGTCCGTGACAAGTTCTGATCTTAGGGGATTTTAAATTGGTTTCTGTACTAAGAAAGAATTCCAATAAGGTTCCAATCAATTATTTTTCCAAAAAAGAAATAAATATGTCTAATGTGAAAAAAACCATAAATGAGAGTAAGAGGAAAAGATTAAAAAGAATGATAATAGAAGTGGCCAAATGAAAAAAATATTCCCTTAAAACAAAAATATTTCTTTGCTTTTGAAATTCTTTATTCTTATGACTTTGGTATATATTATTGGACTTTTAAAATCTCTTAAACTCATCTATTGCATTCTGTTAGGAGGAAAAAATCTTCAAATCAGGGATGATCCATCTCTGTTAAAGCTAAGTTATAGCCTTTGTGTGGTAGGGGTCCAGTTACTCTATTCTTGTGTTAAGGGTATTAGAAAGATCACTTTTTTGCCATGCCCAGTTTTCCTAGCTCAGTTTTCTTGAAGAACAATGTGTTAGTTTCCTGGGGCTTCCGTAAAGATCACAGTCTAGGAAATTAAGCAACATAAATCTATTGTTTCTATAGGTTTTGGAGGCTGAAAATCTGGGATCAAGTTGTTTGTAGGGTTGGTTCTTGCCAAGGGCCATGGGGGAGAATTTTTTAGACCTCTCCCTGAATTTCTGGTGGTGTGCTGGCCCCTTTGACACTCCTTAGCGATGTCTGCCTTCATGTTCACAAAGCGTTCTCTTTTTATGTGTTGCTCTGTGTCCACACTTCCCCTTTTATAAGGATGCAAATCATATTATATTACACCTCAACCCAATGACCTCATCTTAAGAGACCTTATTTCCAAATAAAGTACTGGGGATTAGAACTCTCACATCTCTTTTTTGGGGTGGGGGATGAGGGAGGACACAGTTTACCCCATACCAGACAGCCATGGTTGGATCTGGAGAGCAGGTGGGAATAGACATTGTTCTTTATCAACCATGTTCATTATTTACTCCAAAATATTTGAGGAAAGAAGGGGCAAGCCATCATCACTTGGGTTGTCTGTGCATTCGTAACTTTTCCCCTAGAGATAAGCTCTGTGTATTTCACATGCACACCTACCTACTGGGCTAAAGTAAGATTTTCAAAGACTATTATGGGATATGTTTGTGCTAGGAAATCAGAAATAGAATGGAGAGGATCTGTTCCATCTCTGAATGGAGTTCTATGAATTTATAATCTCAGGGTTGGTCTTACTGGCCAAAGTGGGTACTGGGGTGAGGGTGGAGAGAGAAAAACTTCTTGCATTTCACTTTCTGTCTCCATTACCTACCATTACTTTCATCTAACGAGTGCCCACATTTCACTTCCTGCCTCCATTTTCCCAGTTCTTGTCCCCTCTGAGTCAATTTTTTTGGGATTTCTGAGATAACCCAATATCCTACCAAAAGTTTCACTTTTTTTCCTTACTGAAAATCAAGTAAGCTGAGATTATCTTATGCAACAGAAAGTCTCAACTCAGATTCAGAGGTAGAGAAAGGCAGAAGTAGAGAGCATTGTTAAGTGAGGAGCCCTGAGCAGTGGACCCTGCTCAGAAGTGGAAGTTTATTTCAGAGGATAGACTTGGTCTTTCTCCCTCCAGCCCCCCCCCCCAACATGTAATGGGTGTATTTCCCAAGAACAGGTCTCCACATATAAGCCCCAGTGAGTAAAGGAAACCTTGTTTACTGTCATGTCCCTACCCAAACCACACTCCAATAAACAGTGAAAACCTCTAACCCTTAGTCACCAGTGGAGGCAAATTATAAACTTCTAAGTATGTGGCTTCTCAGAGATACCATATTTTCCTTGTATAATGAGCCTGAAGTTTGTGGTAAAGAATGACTTAAGAATCGGTGAACTCATGTCTAACGGGGATTTTTATCACTATCAATTGCTTTCTGACTGACAGGGCTGCTATTTCTTTTGGTAGCAGGACGAGCTAAAATACAGAGAGAAAAATCTATAAATAAACATAGTCTCCATGATGGCAAGGTTTGCTGTTGCCAAAAGAGTATGTTCCTGGGAAAGGGCCCCCACTCACTCCTAACCCTTTCAAGATAATGTGCTATGATCAAAGTCAATTCAAAGGACACCAGTGCACCATCATAGCAGGGGCTGGGTTGGTAGGTCCACGCATGAAATACTGTCTGTGCAACAGAGGAACTCAGAGTTGATCAGGAAGACACTAGTAACAAAGTATTAGGATTCTATGGCAATTCTTCCTAGAGGGGTAGGCAAACAATGCTACATGCTCACAAAGAGAAGACCAGCTGATTGTGTCTGTAGGAAGCTTAAAGAAGGTGGTATTTGAGTCAGATATTTCAGGATACATGCAAATCACCATGCAGAGGAGAGAAAACTTGATCTGTCAAAGACAGCATTGAGCAGGGAGAGGCATGGTCACTTCTGGTAAATAGCGCTTAGCCTGGTTAGACTGCAAGGATAAGGAGGGCTGGAAGGATAACATGAAACTGCGTCACAGAACTTTCTGGCTGGAATGGTGCAGAGAGGAAATACCACATAAGGTTTTTAAGTAGTAGTTTATGGAGCCAGTTGTAGGGTTTAGAAAATAACTCTGGCAGGAATGTTGAAGATGTATTTGGAGGAAAGAGGATGTCAAGAAATTGGTAGGTTATTGCAGGAATTGAGGCAAGGTATACAGAAATGACTTTAAGGAATGATCCGTGCATCTTTCTGGTTTCATAAAGCTAAAAGGAAGTTAAGCAAGTTTCCATTTCTAAATATTTCCCTACTGTTAATTTCATAGTAAAAATTCTTAGAGGCATCAGCAGAAGGCACATTCCAGATGGCAGTTATTTTTCACAGTTTTTAGGTAGATAACAATATACTTGACATTTTTCTCATTAAATGTGAGCTTTGCTCTATGATTAAACATTCTAGGCAACTGTAACCTAAAATTATAAGTGGGAAAAGCAACAGCTCAAATGTTTCAGTCAATAAATATACAGGAGACAGTCAACATGAAATAACTTTTTTCTATGCATTCTTCAAGGAAGAGCTGATTTGAAGATGACGTTTTTGGCAAAGATTTTGCCTTCATACTAAGTAGACCGTACAAGGGAGGTCTTGGGGTATCCCTTGGTCTGGGACTGCAGTCCATACTGCTAATTATTGCTGGGACTCAAATAGAGGGAAGCAATTCCATTATAAGAATCAAAGCTGAGGCCCAAAGTACTAGAAGGGCATGGAATTTTTTATTGCAACATTTATGGAATTACCAAAGACAGTCACAGAAAGGTAAAATTTCAATTGGCAATCTAAAAATAGGAAATATACTTAACTTCTTGCTGAAGGGAAGGCTCAACAGTATGTGTGTGAGCATAAGTGCATAGATGTGTGTAAGTGTGCGGGTTTTGTGTGCATGGGTGTGCATGTACATGTGTTTGTTGTGCATGTACAACCTGCTCTGCCTAGTAAAGGAAAAGATGAAAATTTGTAAGTTACAATTCTTTTCTCATGGAATGATTATAGAAGATGAAGAAATCTTCCCTTTCCTTAACTGCTCTGATCCATTGGCAGTTTCTATGTAGAGATATATTGAGAATAGTTTTCCTGTCTATGTCAGCTGAATGGTGATGGGCATTATTGATGTCTTCTATGGGTACACAATATAGGTGTGGCATCACAACTGCTTATATGCAATTTTGGTGATATGCACAAAACTGAAAATTCAGAAGGCAGATTCTGGTAAACTTAAAAAGTTCCAAACATGAGTGACAAGATAAGATGAAAGAATTTGTTGCAGATAAAGAGATTCTCACAAAATCATGGAATAAAGATGAGTAGTTGGTGGGTTTATTTGTTGTAGAGAAGACATGACACAGCATGTTTAACATGCAATAGTGATCAGAACCAACTGAGTCATTTTGATGAAGAGAGGAGTTGCCACAGGAGGCAGAGGAGAATCAATTCTGGATTGATGAAATTAAATGTAAATATGAGGTCACAATATCAAAATTGTAGAAGAGATATTCACAACCCTATTAAAAACACAGCCCTATTTCTGAGTCATGTTGATGTGTGGTTTCATCTCTTTTTGGGCTTGTGAGCCACAATGCTTCCTCGGAACCAAAATTACCCATTATCATTGTTAAAATGGTTGTATTAGTTTGTTAAGGTTGCCAAACAAAATACCATATAATTTTAGAGACTAGCAGTCTGAGATCAAGATGTCAGTAGGATTGGTCCCTACTAAGACATGTCTCCTTCAAGTGTAGATGGACATACTCTCCCTGGGTCCTCCATGGTCATCCCTCTGTGTATCTGTGTTCTGATCTCTTACTATAAGGATACCAGCTTAATCTGCTAGTGGATTAGGGCCCACACTAATGTTTTACCTTAACTACCTCTTTACAGGTCCCATTTTCCAAATACAGACACATTCTGATATATGGGGGATTGGCACTTCAGCACATGAATTGAGGGGAACACAATTTAGCTCATATTAGTGTCACCCAAGTTCCTCCAGTGACCTAATGTCCCATTCTCTAGACTTTGTTTAGAATGCCTGTCTTTGTGATCCCCAATTCTCTCATTCTCTTGACCTGACATCTCTGGTAAAAACACCACAAGATGGGAGGAATGTATCAGCCTGTCATTGGCTCTCAAAACCCATGAGAATCAGCCAGTAAGTGAGACACACACCTGCAGTCAGTGCAATCTGGAGGAGAGGTGGGAACAATAGAATCCTCTTCCTCTTCCCACAGACACATGAAAATGTGAATATCTTAAAGAGAAGGGTGGATCTCCCATAGAGAGTGGTTAAAGACAAGACAGGTATGTCCCTTCCACTAGACCTCACTCATTCATTCCCACCTGTCCCAAATAATCCCCCCAACCCCCGC